CTCAAGCATAGTATTAAGTTATAAAAATGACATCAAGTGGTTGACTTTTATTTTTATTGTTGTCTTGTTTTATTTTAAAATATTTATTTATTGTAAAAAGCCATTTGTAAGTGATCTTTTTGCCAAAATAAAAAGGGGTGATTATTATCATTAAAAAAAAAAAAATTTGTATTCCCTTGAGAAAGATCACATAGGTTTTTCTTTCAAAGATTGCATCCGAATATAAACTTTTCCTCTATATATATATATATATATAATACCTAGGCGGACCACCTAAACTGACCGAAACTGCTTCGGCCATTACTCGATTCCAATTGACCCTACCAGTCCCGTCCGACTTTGCAAACATTAGTCAACTCTACACTATTAAACTAAAATGGATAGTGTAAAACCTACGCATAAGATTGCCACCTTATATAAATCACAACCACTAAAAAAGACATTTAGATGGTGCACGAGGGGAGTGGATTTCGAAGGTATCTGGTTTAGTCAAAGTAGGCCTTTTATATAACTTTTTGTGCACCATGTGTTAAAGTAGGATTGACTAAATTGGAAAAGCATGAAATAGAAAGAGGGGACATCAGCAAAAGTGACGCTCTTGCCTGGGACCTTCCAATGAAGGTGGCAAGCATTGTTTCAAAACCCAGGTCGGTGGGGGTGGATAATTCACTCCAAAGATCTGGGTCACATCGCTGGATCGACCGTTTCATCGTTTTGAATGAGTGATCTAGAAAAATATCAATAAATAAGTAAAATCAAATAAAAACTAAAAAATTGTTTGACGGCTTGGGATTAAAGAGCCTAAAAAAATAATATATAAGCTTTAAAAAAAGAAAAAAAATATATAGGAGGGGGGATGAGGAGATTTGGGGGAAAATACGTTAGCAACCATAACATCCCAGAATCTGTTGAGTCCCCAACTGATTTTTCATCAGGATCCCAGAATCTGCTCAGTCCCCAACTGATTTTTTATCAGAATCGGCGATTCGAATCAGAAATCACCGGGTTCTAAAACACTGCTAGCAACCCAAGGATGAACTTGTTTTAGAACACTAATGCCTCTGATGAACCATCAAAACTAATATGGGAATTTGAAAGCTGTGATAGGAGTTTGTACATGCATACTCTTCTAAGTCTTTGCCACCATAATTTGAAAGCTATTTTTATTTCTCTATCTCTTGGCTTTTCTACTCCTTGCTCTTCCTACAGGGGCAAAGGGCAAACGCCATTTTTTTTCCATTTTTCAAATGTTCAAGGAAACCTTAACCTGGCAAGCCGTGTACAAAACATTCATGCTCAGATCTAAAAGTATAGTTGGGATAACTTTATAGAAATGTATATGATGAGATCATTTACTTTTGATACAAGAAGGTCACAATCATTATCAATCATTGGATGCGAAATTGGATGGATGGTGATGTGTCACTACTTGAGCACAAAGTTTGAAACAAATTTTCTTGAAAGCAGTAATATATTTTAATATGTTAGATTTCACATCCAATGGCTAAGAAAAGTTGTGACCTTCTTGTATAAAAAATAAATGGTCTCAAATATAAATCTCCAAATTCATTTAGAATATAATATTGGATACTATTTATTTTATTTATTATTTATAAATAATTTTGATATAAAATTTAAGTTGTATCCGCTCCTTGAAAAAAGTTTATATAAGGTTGCAATTTGATACTATTGAAGTAAGGTGCACCTAAAAAAACCTACGGTAGAGAGTGTTCTGGCATGGGAGAACCCACCAACTGATAATCTCGGCCTTGAGATTAATGGACATGAAGAAGAAAAAAAAGATTTTCAAGTCTAAAAAACAATCCATCTTGTAACAAGTTATCTGAACCGTTTATTTTTTAAAATTTCAAGTGTTTTTTGATTTGCACGATATCATTTTTTTAATTTTAAAATTTATAAATGAGGATAAAAATCGATTTTGAAGCCATCATAGGTGTGCTGTACTTCTACAAGGAGGCTACTTTATACAAACTTCACCCCCAATCCTTATACGACACGCTGAATAAAAATATTTTGTAGAAAACAAAATAACAAAAATAGCCTTGCAAGTTACAGAGGAATTTCGGTAAGTTTCTTATTATGCATATTTTTCTTTTATTTCTATAAGTTCCCCTTTTTTAGAAGTGGGGAAGTTCCTATGTGACAAACTATAAATAATTGATTTTAAACTTTGCAAGAATTACTAATAAAAGCATTCCATCACAAATAAAACTAAAAAAATATCATTGAGGGCCGGTGAGGGAAAAAGGTATTACGAGGTAATAGGTGTGAGGATCTTTTCAACCCGCGGGGGGCTGCATTATAAGTACAACATACAAGCTTTGGGGTTTTAGTAATCTTCCCTATGTTTTATATGTGGGAGATTAAGGGGTGGCAATAGACCTGGACCCGACTGGGTATGGGTTTAATATTTGGGCCCAGTAAGTTGGGTTCGGGTTCAAAACTTGGACCTGAAGACTATTCGGATCTGGGATCGGGATCAGGTTCAGTTGGATCTGACTCGTACCCATAAACCATTGAAGATAAAATACTTCAAGGTGTATTAAGGATTGTATATAATAAGAACTCGTAGTCTTCTTTAACTATTAAATGACAAATTAGACGGCTTGAAATCTAATGAGGGTGATTGTGACCTTGTTGCCAATAATTTGGGTATATGTTAGTAAAGTAAAAGGAAAAAAAAATAAAAAAAAAAGCTCATAGTGAATGTGGCAATAGATCCGACCAGACCCAGGATCCGACAAGATAGACCTTGGATCCAATAGATGCGGGTATAGGTCCAACTTTTGGACCCACTGGGTTAGGCCACATATAGGATAACCTTTGCTTGAGCACGGCCCTATGCTGCCCTGAACATGGCTGAAGGGGCTGTGGCCTGGTCTCGACCTAGTAGAGAAAAAAAGAGAGAAAAAAAACGAGCCCAAGGTTAGAGCTAGGCTGGGTTGACCATGGGTCCAATCCCATGCGAACCCAAGTCCTATCCTGGCCTGAGGGCCATTTTTGTGGCCCATGCTGCAGTTTCTCAGAGCTAATAGGGCCACCTAGTGCCCGCCACTCAAATTCTTGTTGACTCAGAGGACGAGTCCATTTTAACAAGGAAAACGTTTATATAAATGATTAATCTTATACTAGGTGCATCTCAAAAATCTAATATAAAATATTATTATAGCCCTGAAAAACTTGCAATTAATCATTTCAAAAGTATAGATGTGAAAAATATATAATTTTAAAACTTAAAAATAATGCATCTGGTAACATTTTATATCTATTGTCAATTTTTAAATTTTTGAGTATTCAAGATATGCTTGGTCTACATATTTTTGAAAATTTAAATTTTACAATTAAACTTTAAAATATATTTTTAATGAATTATAAGTATTTTCGACATCTAAATGGGATCTTTTAGCAAGATTTAAAGGTACGGCTTACTTTGATTGTTTAACTTATTACAAACCACAAGCTTTTAACATCCATAAAAATCATTTATTCACGCGATACAGGTCTAGCTACCCAATTAAAAAAGTTTTAGCTTAGGGCTAAGTTCAACAAAATCACATAGAGCCGTAAGGTGCCAAAATAAATAGGAGCTTTTCTCTAATAACAAAAGAACTCAAAATATCCAATGCAAAATGTAGCCCGGGGGATCATACATGGTTGCCAATTGCCAAATGGACCAGCAACCTTCCCACGAGCCATCCCTTCCCTTACATGTGTGACACCTGTCTACAAGTCGTATTTGTACAGCATTTAGAGAGAGAGAAAGAGAGGAGAGAGAGAGAGCGGTGGGTGCCCTTGGTGATGAAGGTGATGAAAATAAGTGTACGAGATAAAAACTGTTTTCTCTTCATTTGATTTTTTCTTTGTTTTTGGCATATTTCTTTCTCTCTCTTTCTAAATGTAGAGAGAAAAGAATTATTCTTGTTTGGGGCGAGCGAGCCACAAAGAGCTGAGGGCTCGAAGGCGGTGGAAATACTCGCCGATGGCCAGAAAGCAACGAGCAGCTTGCCGAGTCGTGAGGATCCGGTGAAGCTGTTGAAGGGTCTGATGCCTCAGATTATCTGCCTGTAAGTTCAATTATCGTTAGCTAAGCTTCCTCAATTAGAGAGAGAGTGTGTGTTCTTTCTTTTGGGTGATTTGAGAGAGTTTTCATATTAGAGAATTCATCTTCTCTTCTATTTAAATTTTTTAACTCGAGCATATCATTCAAATACTATTGCTCTCTCTCTTATATGCACGGCATTGAAACACTATTTCTCTCTCTTCTCTCTCATATATACACATTCAAGCAGTCACACAAATATATATATTTTTTTCATTTTGATATTTAGAAGGCGGTAAATCGTATACTATGAGCTATTGACCTGAGGTACATGTGGGTCATAATCATCTCGGTTGTTTGACCCAATTTCAACAATAGATATTTCACAAAGTTTTTGGGGGTACAGAAGGGTCATAATCATCTTTGGTTGTTTGACCTAATTTCAACGATAGATCTTTCACAAAGTTTGAAAATTTTTTTTTGGGGCATAAACTTGATCAATGATACAATATGAGTGGCACAATTTTGATATTTAACGATGAAAAATGATTGGGACCTCGTTGCAGCGAAAACAATATTGTATTTTTTCCATAAAGTCACCCCAATTTAGGGTGAAAAAAGCAATGGGAAGGAGCTACATTTTTATGTACAAATTACAACTTAAGAGTTGACATAAATTTATATATATGTGCTACTGGTCTAGGTTCTAGCCACTAAACTATTAAATTTTAGAAAATGCAAACTTAGTTAAATTATATCATAATGAACATTAATTTATTTGAAATGCCAGAACAACCCCAACTGCTCGTTTGTATTAAACCCATGCATGAGACAGAAGATCGACACCAACCCATTCTACGTTTTGAAGGACAAAAATGCCCTCCTATTTCACCCCCAAAATTTAGAATAATACAAAAATGAATTATATACAATAGCTGAAGTCAATTTTCAAGTTTCGATCCCAACTTAACCAACGGTTTTAGACCTATGTAAGATGTCACACGTGTTTAAACTCCAACAAGATATGACAGTTTCATATATTTCAAGAACTAATAATAGTTACATATACCATAGAAACCAATACATCTTATTGAATTCGATAGGAGTACTTAATATTTACCTCCCGCAAAAATATGTGGGATATTTACTTTTCCGATGCATGGGTTGTGTTTGAAATGCCATTCATGAACTGTAAGGTTTTGGACTATTGTACTTGCAAACATCATCGAGGGAAGTTTACTTAGGGATTTCTAGGAAGTTTTGGTACAACAAAAATGGACCATAATTTAAAAGTTTTGGCTCATTCAAAAAGTCCAACTCAAACTCCCCTAATACCAAAAAATAAAATAAAATAAAATAAAAGAAGCAAAAAAAATAATTTGATTGATTCAAATATCCAACTTTTAAACTGCCTGAAATAATTTTTTTTTTTTTTTTTTTATTAAACCACCCAAAAGCATTCTTTTTTTCTCTGTTTAGAATGTTTTGAAAGTTGAACTTGGAATGATTATTTTTTTTTTCCTGTCCTGTTTTGGAAGGCTATTATGCACCCCAATCACTTAGGTATGTTTGATATTTTGGTGACAGTCTAGCACAATGTTTGTGTTTTGGTCTATTCAAAAGTTGGTTTTGGAAATAAAATTAAAATAAAAAATAAAAAACTAAAAAATTTTGGAGGCAAAGAATGTCAAAACATGGATCCTTGTCTAATTCCGAAATTTATTTACGCCTTTATGTAAATTCTTAGAGGTAAAAATGGGCTTATCAATGAACAATAACACCATTTAGGATGACCCATACCTGTCTTACAAAGCCCTCGAGGTTGGCAAGCTTGTTCATGGCTAAGGCCATTTGGCCCATGTAGTTGGCCATAATGGTAGGGGTAGTCAATGAGCCTGATGCAATTGTCTCTGAGAGAGATTTGTGCAAGGCTTCGATGCCTTGTGTGAGAGCGTCCTCAGCCTGTTGAGATGATTGTTGTAGGCTGCACATTGCTAGGAATTGTTGCTCAGTCAAGGGCTCAATTTGTGGCACGAGCATCTGCATAAACACAAGTTTGGATAGGTTAAAAGCAACGATGGTTTGGATTCTTAAAAGGATATTGAAGTTGCTTTGTGTTACAAACTTTTGAGAGAGAGAGGGAGTCCTTTATTGTTTAATTGTTAACATCCTAGAGATAGTCATTGATGCCTGTTATCATATATAAATCTTTATATCAAATGAAAAACTTGTATTCCCCACAGATTTTGTAACACCTTTCATTTTATCCGATGTTGTTAGTGTTTTTTCGCCAAGAATTGTATGATTGCTCGTGTAACATATATTTTTTTACTTTTTAATAAATGGGTAGAAACCAGATATCCCCATAGATTCACCCAAAAAATAAAAAACCGAAAAATTAGGTCTATATCGATATCTAATTTTGTTTCTTTTATTTTGGCAAGTATCTATTTTTTGAATTCCATTTTTGAGTAAAAAGTTTGAAATGGCAAGCCGCTTTCTCTCTCTCTCTCCATCTGTCTGGCCAAGAACATGCACCAACCTCCTCTCTCTCTCACTCTCGGACCAATAACATGCACCCGCCTCCTCTCTCTCTCTCTAGGTTCCATTTTCACTTTAGAGAGAGAGCCTTTACACTTTACGAGATAAAAGTACATCAAGAAAGAGACTTGGCAGGTCTTCAATGCAATAGTGGAGAGCAAGAGCTTCAACTGAGAAGGGCAAAATATATAAAATGAGAACATTTTCATTTCTACGGGAATGTGTCCATTTTAGTTAGGGAAAAGTTTTTATAAGGTTGCAACTTTAAGGGACACCTCCAAATTTTATTTATGTAATTTTGTTGTAAAAAATTCTTAGGATTAACTTAAAATCTATTTTCACATTTAATTAGAAAAATTTCCACTCCAAAAATAGTTAAAGTCGAGTAGATCGATAAACATATGAAAATCTTGAAAATGGACGGTCTAGATAATGTGTTGCACGATGCATTAATTTTTGGGATTTGAAAACTTTTTTCTTTTTTTTCATATTCATACATCTCGATGTCAAGATGATTTATTAGAGAGTTTTTCAACATTAAAACGAAATTTTCGATGGATTTTTAAGGTGCTTTTGTAATTCTACATTTAAAGGTTGAAAGCTTATATAAACTTTTTCCTTTAGAGAGGCCATTATGATGCGGTCTTTAAGGGGGGAGAGAGAGAAACGCCATGTATGATGCAGCGTTCGAGAAGAGAGATAGAAAGAGGATAGATGTGGACCTTGAGTAGATCGGAGGGTCGAAAGCCTCCCATCCATAGGAAGCACCTCTCAGCCGGTGTCTTCCAAATGCCGGACACTAAGTGAAAAACATCGGCCCTAGCCACCATACTCTTCAACCCCATCATCTCCTCATAGTGACCCAAGCAATTATCCACGTAAAGCCGGAGCTCACTCTCCGGCAAATGCTCGGAAACCGCTGCCCTCAGTTCGCACATCAGCCGGTGGTGCTCCTCCAGCCACCTCCCATACTCCATGTCGAACACCGCCGCTTCTACTTGCAAATTACAACAACATATTCAAATTTAGAGAGAGAAAAAGAATTAAATATTTTGCAGCATGAGAGAGATTACATAATCACATTATACACGAGGAGAGAGAGAATTCCCAAGTATATAACACGAGTAGGAGAAGAGAGAATGCGTTATTGCATTACACACACACACGAGTCTAGAGAGGGTAGTTTTCAGAGTTTACTGAGGAATATTTTAGTACATTAAACACGTGTAATGATAGAAAGTTAGGAATTTAAAAATCCATATGGATTACCTAACTCACATTTAGAGAGAGAAGGGGGGTTTAAGGCAGCTATGGCAATTGCGTTTATGCTTTGATTTCTAACGGAAAGACACCATTTTTTGCACCAAAAATCGTAAAGTTAAGGCGAAATGAAACCCCATATTATGCAGTGGAAGTCTAGAGAGAGAGAGAGAAACAGGTGGTTGCTTCCCTCTCATGGACACCCTAGCACTAAACTGCTCCCCAAGCTGCTCCATTATACAATACAAAACAACTCCAACCTAACCATAATGTCTTCCATCTTCTTAACGGGACCAAAATGCCCTTCAACCCTTTTTTTCCACATTCTACTCTCTCTCTCTC